TTCTCAGTCTTGTTTTTCATGACTTTGGCACATTTAAAGAGAACTGGTCAGATATTTTGTGGAATGTCATTTGGAGTTTGACTTATTTTCTCATGATTAGCCTAGGGTTGTGGATATTGGGCAAGAAAACCACAGAGGTGAAGTCCTTTCTCGTCATATCATATCAGGGGTACATAACATGACTCATCACTGATGAGCTTAACATTCATCACTAGCTAAGGTGGAGTCCACCAGGTTTCTCCACTTATATAAAGTTACGATTTTCCCCTTTCCATACTCTGTTGGAAGCAAGTCAGTAAGGCCAGCCCCTCCCCAAAAGGAGGAGAATTAAGCTCCGTTTCCTGGAGGAGGGATTATCTACATGGATTATTTGGAATTCTTCTGTGAATAAAATTTGTCCCTTCTCCCCGTATATTTATTTATTCAATCACTTATTTATATCAGTATACACTCATAGATGTTTATTTTATTCTCTGAGTTATAATCCAATATATAGTTATTTATTTGGTTACTCAAATTGTCCTGTCTTTGGACATTGGAAGTTCTTTCAGTTGGCTCCTCTGTCTGATATATTACTCCCTTCCCTTTTTTTCTCTCTCTCTTTTTAAGCACTTCCTTAATTTTGAGCACTAACAAGATGCTCCAGGCTCATCTTGCATTTCCCCTCTCCTAGTTCTGAAATCAGCCAATTTTCCAAGGAGTCCTGGTTTCCTTTATTGGAGAACAGGGCTAGAAGAAAAATCTGGTCCTGAGTGTGCTCATTGTTACTAAGTGTCACATTTTCTAGGTCCTGTCAGAAGATAGAGCTAAGAAATAAATGCATATATATTAACCCATGTATACACACATGCATATACATATTTTCTCTATCTATCAAAGATAGAAGATATATGTGTATATATATTCGATAGGTATATCAAAGATATCAAAGACATATACGTGTGCATGTATACATTTGTGTATCTATCTGAAGATCTAGAGATAGATGATTGATTGATTGATTGATTGATAGATAATCTCTGACTCAAATCCAGCACCATGGGCTTCATTCTAGTTTTCCTCTTTTGTTTATTTGTAACATCTTCCTCTGACAGTGTAAAATCTGGCTCCCATTATCCATAATTTACTTACTCATTTGTTTAACCCTAGTATACATGTGAAGAAGTTTCAGAATTGCTAACTCTTGTGCCTATGAGAAACGAATTTACTAACTAAAGCACAGTGTTAATATACAGATCTTTTTGTCTTTAGATTTAAATATCCTATCAAAACACTGTTTTCCAAAATTACCTAGATCAATACCTCTTTCCCCACCCCCTTCAATGAGGTTGTCATACATTCGTATTACAGCTAGGTTTCTTTGTCATAGTCTGCATTCCATCCTGGGATCCCCCAACATTCTTGGTTGATTTTTTTAAATTTTCACACAACTAAGTTCATTCTTTGTGGTGCACAGTTCTATAGGTTTTGACAAATTCATAGAGTCATGTCTCAGCTACCCCAGTAGTGCGAAGAATACTTCCATTGACCTAAAATTTCTCTTGTGCAGTCTCTTTGTAGTCAACCCCTCCCCTAACCCCTGGCAACCACTGATCTATTTTACATCCCACAGATTTGCCTTTTTCATAATATCGTATAAATGGAATCATATAATATGTAGTCTTTTGAGTTGCTCCTTTCACTTAGCAAAATGCATTTCAGAGTCATCCATGTTGTGGAAATCAATAACTTGTTCCTTTTATTGCTGTGTAGTATTCCATTGCATGGATATACCACAGGTTGTTTATACATTCTCCTGTTGAAGGACATCTGGTTGCCTCCAGATTTTAGTGATAATAAATAAAGTTGCTATAACTATTGGTTAACTTGTTTTTGTGTGAACATAAGTTTTTAATTCACTTGATAAGTACCTAGGAATGTAATTGTTGGTTTGATTGGTAAGTCTATGTTTAACTATGTAAGAAACTGCAAAACTGTTTTCCAAAGTGACTACACAATTTTTGAGACTTCCTGCTCCTCTACATCTTCATCATCATTTTGAATTGTCTGTTTGGTTTATTTTAGCTATTCTAATATGTGTGAAGTGGTATTTCATTTTGGTTTTAATGTACTTTTCCCTGATGATAGAAGATACTGACCATCTTTTTATGCTCAGTTGCCATCTTTATGTCTTCTCTGATGAAATGTCTGTTCAGCTCATTTGCCCATTTTTTAAATTGGGTTGTTTGTGTTGCTTATTATTGAATTTTAAGAGTCCTTTATATATTCTGGATCCAAGGCCTTCATCAAATATGTGATTTGTAAATATTTCTTCCAATTTTTGGCTTTTCTTTTCATTCCCTTAACAGTGTCTTTCAAAGAGCAAAAGGTTCTAATTTTGATAAGTTAAATTTGTCAGTTTTTTTCTTTCATGGATGATAATTTTGATGTTGGATCTAAAAACTCATTGCCAAATCCAAGGTCTTACAGATTTTCTCCTATATTTACTCCTAGAAATTTTATAATTTTACTTTTTACATTTAGGTCTTTGATCAATTTGAGATGATTTTTATATAGGGTGTGAGATATATGTCCTTCAATATACCTTGTTTTACTTTTATTGTTGGCATATTTTTGTTTGTTTGTTTTGCAAATAGACAGCTAATTATTCCACTACCATTTATTGAAAAGACTCATTTTTTCCACTGAATTGCATTAGCACCTTTGTAAAAATTCAGTTGACTACATTTTTGTGAGTCTATTTCTGGGCTCTCTATCCTGTTCCATTGACCTGTGTGTCTATATTTTTACCAATATCACACTGTCTTGATTACTACAGTTTTATATTAAGTGCTAAAATCAGGTAGCATGAGTCCTTTAGTTTTATTCTTTTTCAGAGCAGTTTTGGGTAATCTAGTCCCTTTGCCTTTCCTTATAAATTTTAAGATTGTCTTATTGATATTTGCAAAACAACTTTCTAGGATTTTGATTGATATTCTATTCAATCAATAGATCAAATCTTAATAATACTGAGTCTTCAAATTCATGAATGTGGTGCGTCTTTTCATTTATTCAGATCTTCTTTATGTTTTCATCTGTTTTATAGTTGTCAGTATATGGATACTGTGTATATTTTGTTACGTTTAAACTTAAGTATAAAATTTTTTGTGCTATTCTGAATAGTATTTTTTTAAATTTCAAATTCTATTTTTTATTGCTGGTATATAGGACCATGAATGAATTTTATATATTGACTTTATATCCTTCAAACTTCTAAACAGTTGTTTTTGAATTAAAAATGGATACAATCTGTCCCTACCTTCTCACTGATTAGTAAAGTCCCTAATTCGAAGCAATTTGGAAAAGATATTTGAAGAATAAACTTATAAAATTTCTCATTTTATAGACAGTTCACAGCAAAAGACACACAAATGGCTCCTAAACATAAGAAAAGATTCTCAACCAGCTTGACATAAGGCAATAGAAATTGAAACTATGTTGAGAAGCCATTTTTCATCTCTCAGGTTGGCAAAGATTAAAACGTTTAATAACACGGTTGCCGGCAAGGCAGTGGAAGGAGACTCCTCTTCCTGATATAAGCCCACGCGGAAGGCAATTTGGCAATATCTAGCAAAATTACAAAACCTCTGTATGACTCAGCAATGCCACTTTTAGGAATTTATCCTACAGCTATTCTTGCAAACATGCAAATGACATGTGTAAAGTTTATTATTTGTAACATGTTTATAATAGAAGAATGAAAAAACTTAAATGTGCATCTATACCAAGTTGGCTAAATATATTAGATCCACACAACACAATGCTATACAGTCATAAAAATAGATCTTTAACATATACTATCAAATTTTAAAAGTAAGGTGCAGAAGTACTGTGAGACGAAAAATAAAAGAACGCATTTATGTATCTGTGCGTATATGCATGTATCTCTGGAAGATATAGTAGTATCATTGGTTACCTGTAGGGAAGGCAACTGAGTGCCTGCTTGGCAAGGAAGGGAGAAGGATTCTTCACTATCTTTTTCATGCTTTTGAATATTGAGGTTTGATATTAAGAATCAAATCTTACATCTCTGCCCTTCCAAAACCTTAGAAGTAACTGTCCAACCTCTTTCAAAATTTTCTGAAAGAAAATGTTGGTAAGTTCTGATGCCATTTATTGAAAATATAAAACTGGAATAATCTCCAGTTAAGTTGCAAGAGCAAAGATTGATAACTGGAAAAATAAAAATTATTAGGTAAATTTCAACAAAACCTTTGCATAATTGGCAGATAGAATTTAAGAATATAATGATTATTATGTGCAGCCAACAATGAACTTCTTCTACTTAGACCTACATATCACAATGAGAATTTCAAAGATGCCATTAAATCTGAGCGTGGAAATAAATGGATCTTGAAGTTAGCTCTTTAATTATTGATCCCCACGGTGTTTAAACAAAGTTTTGAAACCTAATGACTCCTATTCAATCATGCTGATCTCACTAAAATTATTTTGTTAATAATAACAATTTAATGATAGCAAAACATTTTGTTCCATTAATAAAATTTTTAAATGTTAATTTAACCTCTACCTCAGCAAATTTTAGGTTTGCATATGTTTATAATTTATGTAACATATTAGTACAGAAATACATAAGTGCGACTTATAATTTAATATGTACCTACTGGGGTACATGCTCAACTATATTGATGGAATTTGTGGTAAAATTTGGAGACTGCTGCTGTAGACAAGAGCTCTCACTTGGATGAGAGGCCCTGGCTGAGCTGAATAGTGAGGAGGCTGTTGAGGAGGAAGAAGGAAAAAGAAAAGTAGAAAGACCAAGAATATAGTTATCATCTGCCTCAGAACACATGTGTGTAGACCGGTATGGCCTTAACTCCCAAGAAGTAGAATTCTAGAATCTCTAGGCAGCTGGAGACAAAAGAGTGAAGAATTCTTCTCTCTCAAAAGCTCTAAAGAAAGGTTCTTGGTCGAGGATGCTATCACTTGTGCCAGGTAGGAAACAGAGATGGCTTCATGGGATGTAGGAAACTCGTGTGAGCTGTCAATCACTGACTGAATAAGTAGAGTAGTGTTTCTTCCACAGAATCACCTTGAGCAATGTCTCTGGAGCAGGCACCAGGAATCTGCCTTTTTAATAAGACACAAATTACTCTGTTGAAGGTACCTGTCTCAAAGAACCAGCAATGCCAACCCCTGGCTTGAAGGATGTAGAACATTATGGTTGAGGTTACCATTGCTGTGGGGTTTTGATTTATTTGAGACCAGTGAGATTCTAAGGCGGGGGATGGAAACCAACTTAATCTATAAGCTCTGCATCTTAAACGCTCTCAGTGCTGGGCACAGTGGTAGGGTATAGCTCAATGCTGTACGCCAGGGACTTTTTCTGTAAAAGGCTGGATAATATTTTAGGCTTTGTGGTCTATCCAGTCTCTAACACAACCACTCAACTCCACCCTTGTAGTGCAACAGCAGCCATACACGATACACTACTGAATGGGCACAGGTATGTTCTAGTGAAACTTTCAAAAGCAGGTCTAGTTTGCTGACTCCTGCTGTTGGCCAGTATGTATTCTACATACCCCATATGACATGTAGTTACTTTATTGCTCAGTTACTTTAAAGCCCCCACAGTGATTCTCCCTCTGGCCTTGCTAAGTACTCAGCCGAGATTTTACTCAGCCGAGATTTTAGCCTCACTTCTCAATTGGGGAACCTAGCTCTAAGGGGAGAAACCAACAACTTCAGAAATTTCTAGGCAAGTGCAGAAAATGATACTGGATGAAAATATGTACGAATATCAGGTTCAGTATCACGAACAGTTATCAGAAATTTCACTCCACCCCCTTGGCAGCAAGGTTGTTATATTTGGGGAAGATGTTACTTCAAGAGAGGAAGTGCTTCTGGAAAACCAGTAGCCAACAGGACATGGAACTCTTGATCCTACTCCCATTTTAAATAATTCAGTAGGGGTCTCTTAATGCCTCTCTACTCTCACCACCAACACTTTCCTCCTCCTGTGACCCATCATCATCCACTCCCCTCTTGCTCATCAGTCAACCCCAGACTTTTAGGAGACCCTGCAAAACAGTGATGGAAGAACCCAGAAAAACATTGCATTTGCAATATAATACTGACATTTTTGAAGCAACACTCCCACATTTGGAAAAGTATCAAGAAAAGAGAACGGAAGAAAGATAAGGTGCTAAATCTACTCCCTTCAATAAACTCCCAAACAATAAATCTTAAAGTTGTCCATGCACACCCATGTATATTTCATCTCCGGCTAAAATTAGGGTGTCTGTTTCTGCACATATAGGGAATGCATAACTCGTTGTATTCTATTTTTTTTTCTGTTCATAGAGTTAAAATGGGAATCCTAGAAATGTATCGCCTTCTATGGTTTCCATCTGGATGCCAATAAAGGAGGGTTAATTTCTTTGCTTGCCTGATCCCAGGAACATAGCATTTACTTGAAAGTAACCATGTAGAAAGTATTAAGGAAAGACCTGCTGTCATTTCTTCCTTGTACTATATAATCTCTGTACTTTGTTTTTCTCTGATGCTGGTTCTGAATGATTAAAAGTGACAGGAAACATCTAGGCAGGGCCGTCCACAACCGTGGCTGGCAGATTTTGAAGTTCTCATCGGTAACAGACTTAATCTGGACTCAGGGCAAAGTAATGTTGTCTGACCTGGTCTCTGGATCTTTGACAGGTTCTGCCTCCAACAGGCCTGGGGATGAAGGCTGCCGGCATCTTGGCCCTGATTGGCTGCCTGGTCACAGTCACGGAGCCCAAAGTCTACACTCGCTGTAAACTGGCAAAAATATTTTCGAGGGCTGGCCTGGACAATTACCGGGGCTTTAGCCTTGGAAACTGTGAGATTTCTCCCTTCTAATTCTCTTTCTACCCTGATTTCTCCCCTGAGATGTCGAAGGCCCCATCCATACTCACTTCCGTTTGTTCCCAGCTTTTCCATGCTCTGCTCCCGCAGGGATGGCTGCTAGCTATTCACCTGCTGCTCTCTGGGGCTCCTCTCCTACTCCCTGCCCCTCATGTTCTCACTCTTGGAGTCCTGTACTAATGACACCAGCAAGGGAAGGAGAAAACAGTGCCTCCCTTCCTGGCACTGTAGGGGTGGACCTGACTTTTAGTCTGGTCTAGGCTCAGCCACTGAGTAGGCGTGCAGCTTCAGGTGTGTCATCCCTGCCCGTGATGTGCCCTATGGGTGTGCTGCTTGCCCGGACCCTGCCAAGGTTTGTCGGGAGCAGAGCACTGTTGTAACATGTGGAAGGGACCTCTCCCCTAAGTGCAGGATTGGAGGAAATAATGCATTCCCTTGACTGGCATTTCTGGCTTTTTCTCCATCTAGGGATCTGCATGGCGTACTATGAGAGCCACTACAACACCACGGCTCAGACTGCCCTGGAGGATGGGAGCACTGACTATGGCATTTTTCAGATAAACAGTTTCACCTGGTGCAGAAATGCGAAGCTGCAAGAGAAGAACCACTGTCATGTGGCCTGCTCAGGTACAGCTTTGTTTTCCAAAAATATCATCCTCGGGGACAAAGGCAGGAAAGCTGATAATGGAATATCCATTTGTTTTTTTCTTTAACTAAAATCTGGAGTTCAGATGTGCAGGTAGCTCTATACCAGGCCAATCAATTATTCAACAATTCCCCAAGGTGACACTTAGGATCCTGTGGCCAACTTGTCCAAAAGTGACTTATTCTTTCTAGGATGGTTTTTATGAAGCCTGTCACAAAAACAGGGGGATGAACAAATGACCTAACTACCCATTCATGCGTGGAGACATTAAATACGTTCAATATGAAGGAGAAAGCTGTTTGCCAACTGCTTTCCATAAGCAATTTACTCAAAGGATGCAGTTTATACTTCTTTGTACAGAATAAGACAAATAAATACGTTTTAGATTGCATTTCTTAAACAGTAGAAATTAAGCTAGAACTCACTTCCAAGTCTTCTATGTCAATCATTTAAGAAATAGATGTGTGCACAGAATTGAGGATAACAGAATACATCAGACGTGAATTGTGGTATTAGGGAGGAGAATGTATACTTATACGAAGTTAGATAAATGACTATAAACAGGTATAGGTTGAGTGTTGTGGGCTTCAGAGGAAAGAGATATTATTAAGACAGTCATGCAAAGTTTTGTAGACACAATGACATTTGATCTAAGACTTGGAAGATAGATGAGATTTGGATATTCAGAGAGAGAGAAGAGCCATTCCAGGTAAAAGGAACAATGAAAGCAAAGAGGTGCATGTGGGAAGGTGGGGCCTGGACAGGGAGTAGCGAGACTTTTGTCTTGTCTGTAAGAAAGCAGGTGTGATGACAAATAACAGGATATGTGGTTGGAAAGGTTGATTACTACCTGACCATGAAGCCTCAGAAGGCAGGCTGAGAAGCATGTACTGATTTCTGCCTGCAATCGAAAACCGTTAGAGGTCAGTTGATTAAGCATTGCTTCAGAAAGATTAATCTACAAGCAGGGTGTGAGATAGATTAAAGAAGAGACCGTTTAAGTGCCACTGCAATTATTGAGGTGAAAGATGAAAAGACCTAAACGATGGTCATACCTGGGGGCGTAGAGAGGAATGTGCAAGAGATACTCAATAGCAGAAGGACAGAGCTCAGTAAATGTCTTGTTGGCTCTTCCTCTAGAAAGTAAGTGCCATTTGAGGGCAGGAGTTTTATCTGTTTTGTTCACTGATGAATCCTCAATGCTTAGACTGGTGTCTGGCCATTGTTGGAGCTCAATAAATATTCAATAAATAAATGAAAGGAGGAAATGAGGAGCAAAGGTGAAGACAGAGTCATATTTTATGGCAAATTCCATAGGAGCAGGAAATAAACTTTTAATTTCTCTTTGACACAATATAGTCGTTACTTATGTTTGAATGTATGAATGATTGAACAATATATTAATTTGTCTAGTAAATTGTTCCTACCCCTACATTACTACAGAATGCTCATTACACCCTGAGGCAGATCACCCAATGATGGATCCACTCTTAATTTAGAACATTCTTTTGTTGGGCCAAAATCTACCTCCTCATAGCTTTCTTCCATTAATCCTAGTTTTTCCTTTTAGATTTATTCAAAATAAATTTGCTCTATTTTATACATAGAAACTTTTTAAATGTTTGAAAATGATTAGTAGATATTTATCATCTTCAATTTCTTATCTTCTGGGCTAAAACATTTAGTATGTTCACCTACCTACAGGTATGACTTTTAAACCCCTCTTCATCCTGATTAATCTCATTAGCATTCCCTAAGAGCTTGCCAGTGGAGTCTTCCAGTTAAACATGGCAATTGGACATGTGTGTTGTTAGAAGCTGGAAAGCAGGGGGACAAGTGGTGACTAATTTAGCAATTAGAGAAATCTGAATCCTAAACTGACAGTGTGGAAAGCCAAGAAGCAACCACAGATCCCAGAAAGGCTCAGAAATCAGCAGCACCAGCTACTTCTGGAAATTGAACTGAAGGCAGGTTGAAAAGTGAGGATCACCTGGGAGTTCAATTAAGGAGCCACTAGACCGTCAGATTCCCTTCCTGACTTCCTTCTTCTATTGACTGCCCCTCCCCTCCCCTGGCAGGATACTGTAGCTTTCTCTTCTGGGCAGAGTAATCAGAAAGTCCCTCAACTAAGGGATCTCAACAGTCTTTGAGTGTGAAAGCTTCATACTAAAGATATGAGAGATTGAGTTAAAGCTTCCATAGTCCCAGTCACCTTCCTCCACTCAGATCCTGGAATGATGGCACCCGAGCTAGATTCTCCAGAAGAGAAGATTCTGTTTTGGGGAATCCAGCCAGATAAAAAGGAAATAACTAAAGATTCTGAGTGGCACCTCCCAGTGAACAAAACTTGCTAGACCTCCCTACAGTGAGACACATGGTTGAAAATCCCCCCTCTGTGTACAGGACTCCCAATCAGCTTTTTAGTATTCCCTTCTTAAATAAGTGCAGATAACCAAGGATCACCAGACTTCACAGAAGTGTCACTGACGTGAAAGAATGAGACCAAAAAACAAACTAAAACAGTTAAAAGTAACTTGTTGAAAGTAGAGATTATGCAGAGAAATGAAAGCTTAAAATGAAACAAAACTATCATTAATATCTTCAGATAGATAAGATGTTGTATTGATGAAACAAGAACATGATGCTTTTTTTTTTTTAAAAAAAAGAAACATTTAGAGAACAAAATAAACAGCTCCTGGAAATTCAAAATATGAGAGCAGAAATGAAAAATTCAATAGATTAGTTGGAAGATAATATTGAGGAAATCTCTCTAAAAGCAAAATGAAAAAAAAGAGATGGAGGTGCCAGCCTGGTGGCGTAGTAGTTAAGTTCACGTGCTCTACTTCAGCAGCCCAGAGTTCACAGGTTCAGATCCCAGGTGCGGACCTACACACTGCTCATCAAGCCATGCTGTGGTGGCATCCAAGATACAAAAACTAGAGGAAGACTGGCACAGATGTTAGCTCAGAAATAATCTTCCTCAAGCAAAAAGAGGAAAATCGGCAACAGATGCTAGCTCAGGCCCAACCTTCCTCACCAAAAAAAAAAAAAAAAAAAAGAGAGAGAGAGATGGAAAATAGGAGAAATAAGAAGAAAATAAATGGATCTTAACAACATAAGTTTCAGCAGGAGAAAGGAGAAACAATAGATAGGATGAAATCTTTTTAAAACATTTCCAGAACTGAAGGACATGTGTTTCCAGTTTATAAGGTCCATCACATGACTAGTATCCTGGATTAACATAGACTCACACTAAGGCATATCTTTATGAAATTTCAGAACCCTAGAGAGAAACAAAATACACTAAATACACTACAGGCTTTGAAGAGAGAAAAAAATGGTCCATACAGAAGATCAAGCATCAGAGTAACATCAGACTGCTCAATAGCAACACTGAAAGCTGGAAGGAAATGGAGCAATGTCTTCAAAACCCCGAGGAAACATTATTCCCAATCTAAAAGTCTGTACTAGCCAAATCATCAACACATTATGAGTGTAGAATGAATACATTTTTAGACAAGCAAGTTATTAAAAATTTTGCTTCTTATATAAGAAAGAATTCTGACTGGAAAATATAGCCAACTCAAACTAGGTAATTTAAGAATTTAATGAAGGTTCTACTTAGAAAGCTGTGGTCAGACTGGAAGGAAACCAAGGGGATAGTAAAATAAGGTGTTAGAATCAGTAGGGCATTTTCACCTCCTGGCTTAAGGGGGAATGGACAGGGAGCTGTTACTCACACCTAGATAGAGAAAGTCTGTATGAAGAGGGTCACCTTGTAGGAGCTGTGACCATCCATCAAGGGACCGAGCTTGTCCTTAGTGGTTTGACATAAAAAAAAAAGGGAGAATATATCTCCCAATCTCACTGTCCTCCCTCCCTCCTATCTCCTGCTGCTCACGGTTATTTCAACCCTGCCAGAAGGCAGAGGATGAGAGTCCACTGATGTCATCTGTGTGGATCAGCCTCTTAGTGCACAGAGCACAGTGAATAAGGACGGAGAGGGGATCTCTAGGGGCAAAGAAAAGATATTCAGCATACTTCCCATGCATCCTTTCTCACAAACTTTTGGAAAAGGTGCTCCACCAAAAGGGTAAAGTAAACCAAAAAAGAGAAAGACATAGATCTAGGAAACAAGAGAGTCAGTGAAGGAGAGAGGCCCAGGAAATGCCCAAAATGATTACGAGGGATGATTCCAGGACGAATTTTTATAGTTGATTTCTAAATTAATTCTATTGTAGTCAGATAATATAGTCTATATGGTTCCAAACCTTTAAAATTATTTAAACTTTGTTTTATGATATGCATTATATGATTATCATACAGCATATGATTTATTGTGGTGAATGTGCATTTGAAAAAAAAATGTGTATTCTACAGTTAGTGTGTGGATGTTCCATACATGACTGTTGTATCCTCACTGATTTTCTTACTTATTCTATCAAATAGTGAGAAAGATATATTGAAATCTCCAACTATGATGATAATTTTACCTATTTCTCCTTTCAGTTTTGTCAGTTTTTGAAGCTCTGTTATTAGGTGCATATCCATTAAGGACTGTTATGTCTTCTTGATGAATCAACTTATTTATCATTAGAGTCCATGTCCCTCCTTAACTCTGATAATATCCATTATCCCAAAATCTACTGTGTCTGATAGTAATATAGCCACTCAGCTTTCTTTGCATGGTGTATTTCTTTCCACTCTTTTACTTTTAACCTATCTCTATGTCTGTATTTATAGTGAATTTGTTATAGACAGCATATAGTTAAGTATTGCTTTTATATCTAGTCCAACAATCTCTCTTTTTGAATAGGAATGTCTAGACCAGGGGTTGGCAAACTTTTTTTTTAAAGGATCAGATAGTAAATATTTTAGACTTTGTGGGCCATATACTGTCTCTATTGTAACTGTTCAACTTTCCATATAGCACAACAGCAGACATAGACAATATGTGAACAAATGGGCATGGCTGTGTTCC